TGTGTGTGTGTGTGTGTGTGTGTGTGTGTGTGTGTGTGTGTGTGTGTTTGCAAAAAAAGAAAGAATAACTTTTCTGGAGACACAGAGCCAGCAAATCTACAGATCAAATATTGTATGGGGCCTACTGACAATAAAAAGAAAATCATTTTGTTGTTTGACTAAAATTCAAGTTTTAATGACTGCCCTACATTTTTATTTACTAAATCAGGTAGCTCTATATATACTTCATAAGTTATAGATGGCCTCATCCCATCCTACATTACTCATGCACATAAGCTTTAAACAAACAGAACTTTACCTTTGAATTCCTACACCCTCCAGGATACTGGAAAATGTCAACTTGCTCTTCACAATAAGCATGGAAGGCTTATTTATGTACTTCCTGAATATTTAACTCTCCTCTTAGGGCTACGTTTGCAGCATCCCAACGGCTCTGATAAGTTGTGCTTTCATTTCATTGCATTCTAATTTATAGAGATCTGCCTGGCTCTGCCTCCCAAATGCTGGGATTAAAGACATGTACATCTTTGCCCAGCTGAGTTATTTGATTTCTTCTTTAATGCTATGTATGTATATGTATATTTGAGATCTTAATCCTTTGTTCGATATGTAACTAGCAAATTTTTCTCCCATTCTGTAGGGTCTCTACATGAGTAAAAATTTCCCTGGCATTCTGCAGTACCTTATTCTCTGTTCTTTGTCAGTTGTGGGTCTCTGTGTTAATCACCACCTACTGTAAATAGAAGCTTGTCAGATGAAGGTTGGAGAGGTGCACCAATCTAAAGGTATAGTGATAAGGCATTAGGAGTTGCTTTAACACTACTCCCATTGAGCAGCATAATCGTAGTAGCTTCTCTCTGGGAGCCTATGACCTGTCTAGCCATAGATTCTTGGCCTGATGATAGTGCCACCTTGTGGAGCAGAAGTTAAATTTCATTAGAAAGTGTTTGGTTGCTCCCATAATGTCCATGCCACTGTTGCACAGTGGGCATGTTTTGACAGGCCAGTATTTTTAGCTTGTAGGGTTCACAGCAATGGAAGACTTGTCACAATCTCCCAGTAACCACTGCTGAGGAATTAAATTGTATTCAATATTCAACAAAACAAGGTGACTCCAATGAGACCAGAAGAGGGCAGCAGATCTTCTAGGATTGGAGTTATAGATGGTTGTGAGTGACTATGTGAGAGCTGGAAATCAAAACTGGTCTGCTGGAAGAAGAGTCTGTGCTCCTAGCCACCAAGCCATCTCCTTCAACCCTTTCCCAATTTTCAAAAGCATAAGAGTTAAAGTATTATTTTCTACTATGATCATAATAACAACCATGTTACAATGGCTGTATCAACCATTTACTTTTCTGAAGTCCCTTTTCTAATTTTTAATTTTTTTTATTTACATTCTTTCATATTGAAATTACAATATAATTACATAATTTTCCCCTTCTTCCCTTTTCTTTCCTCCCATGTACCCTCCCTTTCTCTCTTTCAAGTTCATGGCCTCTTTTTTCATTTTACACATACACAATATATATATTTTTTCCTAAATACATAACTATAATCTGCTTAGTATGTATAATGTTACTTGTATACATATTTTCAGGGTTACTTTCTAATAACCCACTCATAGCACCTGTATTTTTTAATTATTTCAAGAATGCTTTTTTTCTTTTTTCTTTTCTTGGCTTCTTTTTTGAGCAGTATCTATTGAATTTTTTTAAAGAGCAAAACACCAAAAAATCTGGGCACAGGGGTCTTTTCTGAGACTGATACTCCAAACAAGGACCATGCTAGGAAATGAACCCCTGCACAGATATAGCCCATGGTAGCTCAGTCTCCAAGTGGGTTCCCTAGTAAAAGGAACAGGGACTGTCTTTGACATGAACTCAGTGGCTGGCTCTTTGATCACCTCCTTCTGAGTGGGGAGCAGCCTTACCAGGACACAGAGGAAGACAATGCAGCCAGTCCTGATGAGACCTGATAGGCTAGGGTCAGAGGGAAGGGGAGGAGGGCCTCCCCTATTGGTGGACTTGGGGAGGGGCATTGGAGGAAAAGAGGGAGGGAGGGTGGGAAGGAATGAGCGAGAGGGCTACACCTGGGAAACAAAGTGAATAAATTGTACTTAATAAAAAAGAGCAAAATGAGGGAGCGGGATACAGCTGGGACACAGAGTTAACAAAATGTAACTAAAAAGAAAAATAAAATTAAAAAAAAAAAAGAGCAAAACGATCACAAAATAGAAACAGATTCCTTAGTGGCTGGCCCTTTCCTATTAACTGTGAAATGGACAGCTGAGACAACTTGATATTCTGATCTATTTCAACTTAAAATCCAAGCAATGTAAATAATCTTGTTACACTAGCTACTATCATTATCCACCACTGGCAGGTCCTTCACATCCTCTTCACTTTACAATTTCACTTTCAACCTAAGGTCCCACATAAAAATTCTAGGTCTATGATCCCCTGTAAGAAGTTAAAAAAAAAAAAAAAAGAGCCTATTCTTGAATAATGTTCAATAGTTCTTAAATATAACCAAGACTGTAACATTCTTTTAAAGATACTAATATACTGTACCATGCTATAAAAACATAAAACATTGCATATATAAAATGTTTTACCTGGTTGTAAGGGTTTTTATTTTATTTTATTTTTTTCTTATCAGTTACATTTTATTAACTCTGTATCCCAGATGTATCCCGCTCCCTCATTCCCTCCCAATCCCACCCTCCCTCCCTCATCTCCTCCCTGCCCCTTTCCAAGTCCACTGATAGGGGGACCTCCTCCCCATTCATCTGATCCTGGCCTAACAGGATTGCTCCCCCCTTGGGGGGTGGGGAGGTCAAAGAGCCAGCCATTGAGTTCCTGTTAGAAATAGTCCTTGTTCCCCTTACTATGGGAAAACAATTGGTTGCTGAGCTACCACGGGCTACATCCGAGCAGAGGTTCTAGGTTATATCCATACATGGTCCTTGGTTGAATGTCAGTCTCAGAAAAGACCCTGTGCCCAGATATATTTGGTCCTTGTGGAGCTCCTATCCTTTCCCCATCATACTAACTCCCCTTCTTTCATATGATTCCCTGTACTCTGCCGAAGGTTTAGTTATGAGTCTTTGTATCTGCTTTGAAAACACTGCTAGTCAGAGTCTTTCAAATGCCTTCAGTAGTGTAAAAGAGAATGGCAAGGAACAGAAAATTAAAATAATGAAGTAGCAGCTGAGAAAAACAATCATACAACCTAGTGCCAGAGAAAATATTAAGTACTCAGTAAACATTTGCTGAACAAATAAATGAATGTTTAACAGGACAGTCCTTTATTGACTGTTGAATACATAAAAAGCAAAATTTGAAAATCCTTTAAATGTCTAAAGTATATATATAATGTTCAATTAAGCAATGTTAGTAAATATAAAAAACAGTGTAAATTCACGTAGCAGAAGACATGAATCTGAGGATAATACTCTTAATCAAAAATAAGACAAATGCCATGAGTCCATTGAGAGAAGGACCAACATTTTTAACATTAAAAATGTTGTATCCTGAAGGCTGGAAAGATGGCTCAGAGGTTAAGAGCCCTGGCTGCTCTTCCAGAGATCATGAGTTCAATTCCCAGCAACCACATGGAGGCTCACAACCATCTACAATGAAATCTGGTGCCCTTTTCTGGCATGCAGGTGTACATGCAAACACAACATTGTATACATAATAAATAATAAATTTTTAAAAATGTTGTGTCCTCCCTGCTCAGATGTAGTCAATTGGCAGTTCAGTCTCCATGTGGATAGCTGAGTGAGGGGAGCAGGGGCTGCCTCTGTCATGAACTCAGTTGACTGCTCTCTGATCACTTCCCCGATGAAGCAGCCTTGCCAGACCACAGAAGAAGAGGATCCAAGAAGTCCTGATGAGACTTCACAAGCTATGGGTAGATGGCAATAATCTAGAACTCCCCCTATCAGTGGAGTAGGGGAAGGGAATGATGGGAAGAGGGAGGGAGGGTGGGACTATAGAACTTGAGGGAAGGGGCTTCAACTGGGATATAGAATGAATAAATTGTGAAAAAAAAAAGAAAAAAGATTAAAAGAAAAAAAAATGTGTCCTAATCACACAACTATCTGCACGAATCTATGGCATTTCCAAAGTACACAATAAAAAAACTCATTATATTTTCATATATAAAATAAGCAGGAAAGCACATGAGTCTTTGTTTATAAATATGTGTTATGGGTAACAATAGACAAATTATTATAATGAAAAACAAAAGTTACACTTAATATATCCAGGCAGACAATAGTGTTTCAAGGACTTCAAAAAAATTAAAATATCTTTTTTTTACAACAATGTACATTCTTCTCTTAATTTATATTAATATGATTAAGTCCTTTTCTCACTAGTATTTGGTTTATTTCTAACTACATTGTCACATTTTTACCATAAACATGCACAACATATGTGATAGTTTGAGTTTCATAAAGGAGCCCAAGGGGTTGGGTGCCTGCTTACCTCGGGCTTTAAAATACTTCACATGGCTTGCCACAGCCTCTGCAACACTTTCATTGGGGCAAATTTTTACTCCATTTGGGAACAAAATAGATCTCCGCCTTCTAAGCAGCCATCTCCTCCCAGCCTCTGGGGGGTCCAACAGCTGTCTTTTTCTGGTGGCCAGGGAAGGGTCTGTTGACTTCTCCGGTTCGAGGACAGAGACTGAACGCATGGGTCCTTGTCTCTCTTCTGGAGAGAAGATGGTCTGTTATTATAGAGAACAGACTGGGGGCATGACTGGAGCTTTCAGGAAAGTGCAGGTGCAGTACAAATGGCAGCAAATAGAGAAAAGCTGATGTTTGCACCACACTGAAAATGTAAAGACCATGCTCAAACATATGCGTGCACATCAAAGGAAGAAGTATTCAGGCTTTTTCCCCATTTTGTCAGTATTCCTTTAATTCAAGATTTTTTCTTTTAATTCTAATTTTTATTTATTCATTTTACATGCTGGTTGTAGGCGGTAGCCCTCTCCCTCCTCCCCTCCCAGTCCCACCCTCACTTCCTGTTTCCCCTAAGCCCCCACCCTGGCCCCAACTACTCAGAGAAGGGGAGACCCATCCACCCAACCACCCTAGCACAGCAAGTTGCATCAAGGCTTCAAGACTGTTTTTAAAATCAAATACACACCAAATTTCAACACGGGGATGTTAAGGTTTGAAGCGGGAATTATAATGAGAAAGAAAACCCAAATCATGGGTGATATTCCAAAGCTGCTCCATAAAACAGTCACAAAGATTAATCGCCATATTTTCTTAATAGCAACCACGTAAATATTACTATTTTAAGACTATACCAAAAGTCCCCAAAACTCTGAGAGCAAGCAGTGGCTTTCAATTACCTGAGAGTGACACAAGGCTTCCTCCTGTCAGGAAAAATATCAAAATGCACAGAGAAATCCTCCCCAAAGGAGGAAACATAATCATTTGGGCCAAAATGGAAGAAACGAGATGACAAAATCCTTAAGTGAGCATCCGGAGTTTTGAAATTTCCACTAACAAACTTGTACAAGAAAAGGGCTTGCAGTTAAAAGCTTGTGTCTAGGAGTGGGCAACCACTCTAAAATCATTGTCGATTAGTGTAAATAAAAACCTGTCCTTTCGGAGTAGCTCTGGCTTCTTTTCTGACTTAATAGGGATGCTATGGAAGCAGGGAGGTAAGCTAATTAGGACAGATGGGCAGAGAGTTCTGTTCTAATCTAGCCAGCTAAGCTCCTTAGTAAGCCTCGCCTCTCTTCAACAAGCGGTCAGTTCAGTGTGCTTCACGTGTGTTTTTCCTGCAGATGCTCTGACCTCGTGGGTCACATGTGGTAGGTTCACCAGCTCTCTGTGTTTTCCTAGGACGAAGATGCAGAAGCCTGAAGCCCCCATTTCCCCGCATAGAAGAAAATCCTCCCTTTTTAACCGCTTACCTTATCTTCCTTCTTGTGCCTAGCGAAGGAATAAAGCAAGCCCGTGCTGGAGCTGTGTGAGAATTAACAGATGAACTCATTTTGTCTACATAGCATGGCTTAAAATAGTACCTGACAAATATTACATGTATAATATAAATCCTGTTTTATAAAAATAACTGTGCGGCCAAGTTTTCTATCGAATGTGAAGTTCATGCCACCTGGGATGGCAGCGGTATTCCAGTGGAAGAATTCACCAAGAGAGAAAAAGGCACAGATAGTTTCAGAAGTAGTGTGGACAAGCCACGATGAACAAGAGAGCAAAAAGTATCTGCCAAGAAATACGCTAAGGCATGGTTTTGATGGGGTCGTGTGAACAGTGAGGCAGTGTTTCAACGTCCTGGTGTCCTAGAACAATTGTAGTCAAACCCTTACAATTTACTGTTTCCAACTGAACAGTTCTGAGAGGCCTTGCTCTGAGCCCATCCTGCCCTGAGGAAGGATATATTGGGATAAAGTGGTTCAACACAGCCTAGAAGGCCATTCGCTGGGAATTGTTCTGTATGAATGTGAGGACCTTTTAATCTACAAATGGTGTCCTACACCAAAAGGGAATAAAATTCTATATGAGTAAAGTTTTTCACTAACCAAATAGAAAGCGACAAAGTTAACCAAAAATCCCTGTGAAAACTAGGAATTACTATCAAATAATTTACAATTTTGTTTTACATATTCTGGTAAATTTTTTGAAAGAAAAAATTACTTAAGATCTACAGAACATGTTCCTTAGAAACCTTAACTAATTGTGTCATTGTCAACGTTTTTATCATGTAGGAAAAGCTTATCAATTGCATCTATGATAGCCTCACATAAACATTTGCAGCCCTTTAAAAGCTGTGTGTGCATAGTTGTATCTGTAAAATATTAGTAATGTTTTATAAAATATAAAAATTTTACGTGTCAGAGAGAAAAACTAAAAATAATTAATCTTAGGTACTTTTGATGAATGCAAACACAAAAAAATTTTTAATTAATGAACACTGGAAAAATTATTCTTTTTGTTGGCCTACACCAAAGAATAAAAAGCCTCTGAGAATCAAGGCATTCAGGAAACACTGATGTACTTAGACTGAGAAAATGCAGAATGTTTTCAGTATTTGACAGGCTTGTAGCCCACAAGTAAGTGCATGCGCACATGGAATAGAAATTATTAAACTTTTATACAAACTTCTATGAAGGAACAGAACAACGAATAATTATTATATGATTATTCTGAAGGAAGAGCCATATACAGTGTTATCTGGTAATGAATATTCACCAAAATACTAGCATGGATGGGGAAGGCCCCTGAGATCCCACCTTTAGCCAAAGAGCTATTTGTAGTTGATGGCTGCTGTGGGACAGTCATTCTCCTTTGGGGACATGGCCAGTGGGAGGTTGTCCGGGCCTCTGAGGACGGCCCCTACATCCATGCTCATATGCACAGCACTAATTAAGCCATGGGGCTGTTAGGAAATGACTTAAAAGGAGGTCATGGAGTTGGGTGAGAGGGTAGGGGAATTTGGGGGTGTCAGAGGGAGGTAATGGTGGACAGATATGACCAAAATGTATAACTTTTTAAAGATAAACTAAAAATATTATTTAAAAAAGAGAAGCATTTGATTTCAAAAGAGCAAAGAGTTGTGTGTGTGTGTGTGTGTGTGTGTGTGTGTGTGTGTAGCAAAATGCTGAATAATAGACTTAAGTTAGGTATCACTTATCCAAAAGTGCTTGGGACTAGAAATACTGCAATCAAATATCAAACATTAAGTTTAAAAGAACATATTATAATAATTAGCCTGCTTAGAAACAAAATCAACTTCAGTTAATTAGCTATGACTTGGGGTTTAAAGTGGCACTACCTGGTTCCACCTATACCTTGTTGAAAAATACCTCACACTGTTATTACCACAGTAACTGTACGAAGAGTACATCTTCACCTGAGGTCTTCTTGAGGCTTTGATTTCTCCAGTCCCCACAAAAAAACAGTTTTACAGATGAGATCATTTTGGTAAGCACAGGCCACAGCAGCTGGAGGCTCATATACAAAGAAGCCTGTCTTCCAACCTGCGATAGGCAAAGTTACAGAATTTCACAGGAATATGCCTAGCTGAAAAAAGCAGAAGTAGAGCATGATTGAGTGACTGTACAGCTAAGGAAAGTAAGGACAAGGACAAATAGGCTGGCACGGGATGGAGGCGGCTCTATGGCAAGATAAGACATTTCACTTCCCGACCAATGTATGCAAACTTCTTAAAAATCATGGTAGACATAAGTATGTATATGTGTGTGTGTATGTATTTTAAGAAGTTTGAAACTTTCACAGGCAGTACCTGATTAAATGAGACTTTAAAACAAACAAAAAAAAAAACCCAAAAAACAAACAAAAACTTGCTTTTCTCCAATCTCAAGAGTCTTAAGTTAAAATCTGTATCTTCTCTACAAATAATCTCTGGGCACTATCAGGCTTTTTACTGTCTATTGTCCCTCACGGTTTCCTAATCTAACAAACTTATATCCTTTAGGCTTACTTTCACTATACTTCCAAAGAAACTCTGCTGTTCTTACCAAAATATGTTTTATAATTTATTTATTTGTTTATAAATTATAGTTTATTCACTTTGTATTCTAGCTATAACCCCCTCCCTTATTCCCTCTCTCCCTCCCTCATCTCCTTTCATGCCCCTCCCCAAGTCCACTGATAGAGTAGGTTCTCCTCCCCTTCCCTCTGGCCCTAGCCTCTCAGGTCTCATCAGGACTGGCTGCACTGTCTTCCTCTGTGGCCTGGTAAGGCTGCTTTCCCCTCAGGGGCAGGCGAGCAAACAGCAGGCCAATCAGTTCATGTCATGTCAGAGACTGCCCATTTCCCTTACGAGGGAACTCACTTGGGAGACTGTACTGTCATGGGCTAAATCTGTGCAGGTCTTACCAAATGATCTCACCAAATTAATAGACTTGCTCATCTGTTCAGAAGTGAGTGTCTGCTTTCAAAAACATAGGAGTTCGTGTCTTCATGTATGGTTAGTGTGCATGTGTGTGCATGTGGGCACACTGGGCTCAGCTCACCTGTGGAGGCCTGAGGGCATCTTGTAAAATCAGATCTCTCTTTTTACCTTCACATGGTTCCAGGAACCAAACGCAGGTCACTATGTGTCCTGGTTAGTTTTTATTGCCAAGTTCATACAATCAAGTCACCTAAGAAAGGGGGTCTCAACTGAGAAACTGCCTGGATCAGACTGGCCTAGGATCATGGCTGTGGGAGAACTGTCAAGACTGTTGATTGATGTAGGAGAGCTCAGCCCACTACTGTGTGCTGGATCACCCCCAGGCAAGGGGATCTAGGCTGTAATAAGAAGCTAAATGAACAGGAGGCCCATGCCCCAGTGGATGGACCCCTACATCCATGCTCCCATGGGAAGCAGTAATTAGACCAGATGTGTATTAATAAGCAACATCAACAACAAAAGGGCATGCAGTTGGACAATAAGGTGGCGGGCACCGTGAGCATTAGGAGATAATAGTGAATAGGTATAAAATCAAAATGTATGAAATGTTTAATTAATAAATATAGAGCATTATAAAAAGTAAGCATTTGCAAGCTGGGCGGTGGTGTCACGCACCTTTAATCCCAGCAGTTGGGAGGCAGAGGCATGCAGATCTCTGTGAGTTCGAGGCCAGCCTGGTCCTACAGATTGAGTTTCAGGACAGTCAGGGCTACACAGAGAAATCCTGTCTCAAATAATGAGTTGAGTATTGCTTTCAAAAAAGGAAAGGGTTAATTTTTCATGTGTCTAGCAAAATGCTGGCAGAGGGAGAGAATCGGTGTACAGTATTCTTCTAGTTTCTGCTTGAACTTTCTACCCTGACTTCCTTCCTCTGGAGCATAAGATGAAATAAACTTGCCTCCCCAAGTTGGTTTGGGTGTTTGCCACAGCAATGGAAAGAGACTACAGGATGCTAGGCTTGCACAGCAAATGCTTGCATGATGACCATGGAGTTCCTTTTCTTGTGCTGTACTACTAGCCACCAGAGATTGCAGCTGGGTATCACTTACGTGAAAATACCTGGGGCAGAAGGGTCTTGTGTTTTGGGTCTCAGATAATTTGCAAATGCATGAGTGTGTCTTGGGAAAGCCTCTGAGCATACCTATGATATTCATTTATGTTTCACATATACTCTTCATACCTATCCTGAGATAATTTTACATATTACTTTTAGTGTTTTGACTGTCACCAATCGCATGAGGTCAGGTGTGGAATTTTCTATGTGTGATAGCATGTTGGTGCTCAGAACATTTCACACTTAAAAACATTTTGGATTATGGATTTGGAGAACACTGTTTTTATCTAATTAAGTTGCTCTACTTGAAGTAAAAATATTTTCCTTTACACAAAGAGACATGTGAATTAACTATATACTTGTCAAAATGTGAAGAAAAATTAATTTAAGCATCCAATTACATGGTATATGCAGGACACAATACAATTAAAAATACGT